GAGAAAGTGGGCTTCGTCGACAATAACGCAATAAGGAATATTGACTGCTTGATTTTTTTTTAATTTTTTAAAATAAGGACTATCGATCTTAAAAGTATCCTTAGAGATAATAATAATTAATTCTTTCTCGCTTAGTAATTTTTGGTAAAAATTATAACGTCATTCTTTGTCTAAATAAGTAATAATGTAGGCTGGTTTATTCAATCATTTTTCCACTGATTTTTGCCATTGTTGTTGTAAAACGCTAGGGGTAATAATTAATAAGTTGTTGACTGACCATTGTTGAAAAGTCATTAAGGCAATTGGGGTCTTGCCGGTTCGCATTTCACTAAAAATCGCTACACTCTTCAATTGGCTAAGGAATTTGACATCCGCTAATTGGTAATCTCTGAGGAATGGAGGCTTGGCATCAATTGACGGAAAGTTAGCAATGGTTGAGGAAGAGGTTTCTTTAAAAGAGTAAAAATCATAATTCGGAACTATTTTTTGTAGTTTTTGACAGTTAAGGTGATTGGTGGAAAGGAAGTAATATTTTAGTTTACTTTCTTGGTTAGCATTTAAGCAAAAGGCTCAGGGATAAGTGGTTTGGAAAACAATTTTTTCAGAATTAACTTCCACAATCTCCAATTTCAACCTTTTTTCACTTTTTGACAATTTTTTCATTAATTAGAGACATTTTTTTACTCACGATTTCTTGCCACTTACTACCTCAATTATTAATTATTCTTTTCTCCATCTTCTTTCACAGCATAAAAAGACCTTTATAATTAATATTTCAGTTTTAGAGGTATTATTATATTAATTTTACACCAAAAAATTAAGTATTCGAGGTGTCAGAAAACAATTTTTAACTAATAATTCAAGTTCGAACCTCAATTATTAAGGGGAGCGAGAATGCCTCCCTTGTTTTAATTTGGCTGTATTTTCTTCTTTTTCTTATTCCTTACCATAAACAAAATTACTAATCCCCCCGCTACAACAAAAACTAAACCACTAAAAACTCAACCAATTGGGAAATTATTATCGGTTTTTTGATTAGTATTTTTATCATTACTTTCTTCAAGCATATGGCTCATCCTCCAACAAAAGGGTCTAAAGTGTATATAAAATAATTTACTTAATAAATCATTCTGCTCCCTTTCTTGCTTTCTTTCTAATTGCTTTTCTCGTAATCCTTCCAAAG